CTGTTGTTTGACCCTCGCAGCATTCCTATTTGTTCTACCGTAATAACTTGTTAAATGCAAAGAACCTGAGAAAATCCAGGCCCCGAATCTGACCAGCAGTGATTCAGCCTAGTGCCTGCCTTCCCCTGCACAGCACCCTTTTCCCTAGCGCAGTCGTTTGCTTCCTTTCCTGGTTCTTGTTTCACCACGTAGCTGTTTACAATCAGCTTGGAGCTCCGGTCTTCAGCCTTTGTAGAGACTAAAACCTCATGAAGTACCCTGGTGCGATGTATTTAGGGACAACCATTTTCTGTACGTTCAGGGCTTCCCTCTCATAAATCAGTCCAAGAGAAATACTTAACACCTGCTGTATGTTTCTAAGAATTCAGCCACGCTTTGACTGGGAGTCAGATCACTTTAAATATCAGAATGCTTTTTGATAGCCAGTCACCATTTCTCAGTGGAGAGAAAAAGGATGACATCGAGTTTGATTTGTTTCTGATTTTGAAGGTTGCTAGATTTTTTTTTTTTTTTTTTGAGACGGAATCTTGTTCTGTTGCCCAGGCTGGAGTGCAATGGCGTGATCTCAGCTCCTGCAAGCTCCACCTCCTGTATTCAAGTGGTTCTCTTTCCTCAGCCTCCCAAGTAGCTGGGATTACAGGCATGTGCCACCACGCCCGGCTAATTTTTTGTATTTTTAGTAGAGACGGGGTTTCTCTGTGTTAGCCAGGATGGTCTCGATCTCTTGACCTTGTGATCCGCCCACCTTGGCCTCCCAAAGTGCTGGGATTACAGGCATGAACCACTACGCCTGGCCAAAGGTTGCTGTTTTTAATCCCTGTTCACAGAAGAGGAAATTGAGACTCAGGAAGGTCAAATAACCCATCTGGGGTCCTACCACGGAGCCAGGTCAGTTCGTATCCTGCAGGTCTCAAAGGGCCTATTTGGAACGTCTGTGGCAGGTCCCCGTCCCACATGGAGCTCACTGCATGAGCACTTTCTTCTTTCTTTCTCTGTCCCAGACTGACCCCCGAGGACAGAGCTTCGGTTTCTCTACATTCTTATTTAGCCAGTGCCAGGCACACATCGTGTGCGCAGACCCTCTG